AGGCGCCAGTCCCAGAAAAGAGAAAAAGCAACAACAATGAAAGAAAAACCAAGGTAGGCGCCAGTCCCAGAAAAGAGAAACTTCTGAGATCTCCTGCCAGCTAACGACTTCATTCATATCATGGGTGGGCAATGGATGGCAGGGTAATATTCTCAACCCTACTCCTACAGGCCCAAGTGCTATCTGTCCTGGGCACCCAATCCAGAAGTAGTTTGGGCAAAGGTGAAGCAGCTAGGGGATCAAGGTAGTTCCATCTCAGAGGGCAGCTGAGGGTGAGAGGTCTTGCTATCCCAGGACCGGCCTGAACCAGCTCTGCAGGTCTTGAGTAAGCCACACCTGATTCCAGTAGATGGGGCTAACTCCCTACTGCCTTTGATGTGGCTTGACTGCCTAGAGAACAGGAGCTTGATGGGAGTATACACAGTTGGGGCTGGCCACCCCTCTGGTCACCAGGGTAATGTGAAGTAAAAGAAAAAACTTGCACCTTTCTCTCATCCAATATGCAGTATGCTACTGCGCCACCTGCCCCCCTCTTGCCTCAGTGTCACCTGCAAAAGTTCAAGATGGACACACTGCGCCTGGCTGCCCAGCACAGATCACCAGCCTCCTCACATCTGTTCAGCAGCTTCTCCTAGTGAGGACTAGTCCAGGGCTGGCTAGCGCTGGCTCTGCAGATTTGGAGCAGGGCCTTTTGAACAGGGTTAACGCAGACAGAGCTCACTTCCTTTATTCAATCGGGCTCACAACTGTGGCAATCTCCTCCATGTGGCTCGAACCACTGGGAGAGTGATCTCACCTCTGGTCACCAGGGGAGTGTGGGGAACAAGAAAAAAAAAAAAAAATCCCATTTTTATCTCCTGGAGTCACCAGTATGTTTCTGCAATGCCAGTTTGTTTTCTTGTCTCGGAAGCTGCTCCCAGAAGCTTAAGATGGTGACGCTGCATCTGGTCGGCTGGCACAGGTCACCAGCCTGTCTCCTTTTTTTTGCCATGTCTGTTCAGCTCTCTCTCCTAGTAAGGATTCACTCCACTTCAACTTTTTGAGGAACAGCCAAACTGTTTTCCACTGCGGTTATTGCATTTTGCATTCTTTCCAGCAATGACTGAAAGTCCAGTTCCTCTACAATTTCATATATGCTTATGTTTTCTGGGTTGGTTGGTTCTTGTTTTTTTATCTTTGTCATTATAATGTGGGTTTGATTTACATCTTCCTTGTGTGGTGCCATAGGAGCTGTGGTAGTATAGTGTTTCCGAGCTTGGCTGCTAACCTCAAGGTCAGCAGTTCAAAACTACCAGCTGTTCCATAGGAAAAAGATGAGGCTTTCTGGTCCCATAAAAATTTACAGCCTCGGAAACCCTACACAGGATTGCCTTGAGTCGGAACTGACTCCACAGTACACCACCACCACCCGTATGGCACCAGAGGGTAAGCACTGGACTGCATGGTTGGTTTGAACTGCAAGGTCAGCAGTTCAGACTCACCAGTCACTCCTCAGAAACTACACAGGATCCCTATGAGTCGGCCCTGACTTGATAGCACTTAACAACAACAACTAATGATGTTGAGCATTTTTTCATGTGTTTGCTGACCATTTGAATATCTTCTTTGGTGAAATATCTGTTCATTCGTTTGCCTTTTTTGTTGTTTTTGTTTTTTTTACAAAGTGGCTTGTCTTTTTGTTGTTAAGTGTAGAAGTTTGTTTGTTTGTTTGTTTGTTTGTTTTGGATCTCAGAGCCTTATCGTGTAGATGGTCCCCAGTACTGGTTTTCCAATCTATAGGCTGTAGTTTCACTTCTGTGACATAGTCCTTTGGTGAAGAATTGAATTTCATTTTAATAAGGTCCGATTTGCCTGTTTTCTTTTGTTGCTCCTCCTTTATTGTCATATCTAATAGACAACTGGTTTTTAAGGAGACAGAGAAGATTCCCAAAAGCCTACAAAGGAAAACAAATCATGTACAGAGATTAATTCTCAGAATAGCATTGCATATCTGAACTATACAGTTGCATACTAGGAGATGGTAGAGCAATAGCTTAAGGTTTGGAAAGAAAGTTATCTCCAGTCAAGATTTACATGGACGTCTTTATCACATTTTCAATGTAAGAGGATAAATCCATTCTATTTTTATGTGTTTTGTGAATTGGGTGACGTTTTACAGAATAGATCTTCAGTTTGACTTTCAGCGAGTCATATACTTGGTTTAATCTCAATGATTGCGATCCCTTCATTGTAACATCACTTATCCCACTTCCTCCCTGAGCTTCTTGTTTCCATTCCTCCTCCTTTCCCAACCCTTCTGAACTTTGTCCTTGGTTGAATGTTGCCATTTTGATCTTGAATAGTTGACCATTCTATGGTATGCACACCTTACTAGTGTGTGTTTGTATATTGCTTGTCTGAAAATTGAGACACAGGGGTGAGTTCAGTTCCAGACCTGAGGAGAGACCAAGGGCCGGATGTCAAAATTTTACCACTCATACACCTTGTCTCCAAAAGCTGTTGGTGACTGTGTGTCCATCCCACTGAAATGAAAAAGTGAATCAAGTTGGGGTTGGAGGAGACATAGATCCAGAAAAGAAGAGTTCAGAGACTAAGTCAAGGAAGAAAGAATTTCCAGGAAATTGAGTTAGAACTTCTGGAACAAAAACAAATTCAGGGAAAATCAGAAAGCAATCTAGAAAGGATGTATTCACTTGGATTGGAGATTTTTATATATGCGTGTGCACACACACACATTGTACATCTTGTTAAGAGAAAATTCTTGTTAAAGAAGTTTTTGGTTTAAAATGATTCTATTTTGATGATATACATAAAAATGACCATTGAATAATAGTTTAACTAAATCCTGTGCCATAGTTATATAGGAAGTTGGGGATAGAAAGAGTGAGTGTGTGAATGAGTTTGTGCATGTGTCTATGGCTCAAGTAACGGAATCCAACAGAATCCCCGTCTCCTATTGTAGGAAGCTAATAGATTGTATCTAAAATTGGAGAAGGAAGATGTAGCAGAATTCAATCAGTATTTGGAAAAATAGAGTGAATGGCAATGGAAAACTAGTTTAGAGTGTTTGCTGTCGGGTTAAGGGTGAGAACTTGCAATTACTGATTTTCATTGTAATTTTGTAGTAGTATTTTAATTTGGGGGTCTTCATTTTA